TCTGTCAAGTCTAAAAAAAACAAAACAACTATGATTATGTACATAACCTCCAAGATCATATTCTGGCCCACCTCTTCCTTCCTTCTCACATTAGCCACTCTCACTTCCACAAATTTCCTTCACACGTGGCATTGCAAGGCTGTGTATGTCTCTGTTTCTGCTCCCTTTGAGGCCTGGTCTTCCCACACTGCTAGCTGTGTGAAGCTTCCTCCCACATGACCGGAGTATTTCAGGGAAGATTTCTCCCCCCCACCCCCTGCTCCCCTTTGGCTGACCTTGTTTCCCAGCTTGGCTTTTATTCCTCCATGTGCTTCCATGAACACCTGGATGGATACTGGGCGGCGTGCGTGTGTGTGTGTGTGTGTGTGTGTGTGTGTGTGTATGCACACGCACGCGCTTCCCAGCCAAGCAGTGCACACTGAAGATTTTTCAATGGACTCATCCCATCACCTATGTGGGAAGTTCTTGGTGGTGTGTGTGTGTGTGTTTAAGAAAGCATATTGGTTACACCCTGCCTTAAAACACTCTCCGTTCTGTGTTTCTTTCATCGAGTTTAGGGTTCATGTATTTTGAGTGAGCAGCCTACTCTGGAAATAAAGGTAACGCAAGAAAATTTTGAAAAGATGCTTAGATTTCAATATAGCTTAATTCTATCTTTAACATAGCTGTGATAGTGAGAATTTAATTCAAACTGATTAATAAAGGGAATTCTACTGTATTAACCCAAACCTCAAAATTTATTGCCATTGATTGATTTCCAACTCAGAGAAATCCTATGATGTTGTTATGTGCTGTCGAGTCAAGAGCTGACCCTCAGCAGGTTTTCAGAGGCTCTAAGTTTCATGGAAAGAGAGTGCCCATCTTTCTATCATGGAGCAGTTGATAGATTTGAACCATGTGCCTTTGGGTTCCAGTGCAACTCCTTACCAGTAAGCCACCAGAGCTTTTATGAAAGTAATTCTATAGAATAGAACTGCCTCATAGAGTTTAAAAGACTATATGATCTGTACAGAAGAAGGTTCTCACATCTTTCTCCTGCAGGATCGCTGCTGGGCACACATCATTGCACCACCATGGCTCTTGGGATGAATTCAGGTCTTGTGGGACATTATATTTATATATTTTGGGGTACTTATTTAAAAATAAAATTGTAGATACACTTAAAAGTCCTCTGGGAAGGGCTTATGTGACAAGGTAAGCACAGGAGTCAGGTAATTTTGGGTGAAGAAATTTGCGTTCACTTGTTTCTGTAACTTTTCATACCACAAGAGGGCAGTAGAGTATAAAATGTGGCAAATGTCACTGCTTGCCTTTGGAGTTCCTTCCTGTATTAGTGAGGTTTTGAGGTTCAGCGGAATGTTTGCACCCACCTTTTAGATGACATCCTGTGCTCTTCAGCTTCTTGGCTCTCTGCGGGATTTTGTCAACTTGACTTCTCTCCCCAAACAACTTTCAAGTATCACAGTGACCTGCAGTATCTTCCAAGTATAATAAGAAACTGTAAAGCACAGCGTTTGTACCTTAGGCTTCCTTAGAAACTTTCTCTCCCAATTTGTTACTTTCAAACTGCACTTACCACAAAGCAAAATGAAAAGTGCTTCACGTAACTTCTCCCACAAGTGATTTTAATGAGTTTTTGGCTTTATTTACATTGATCTTCTCTCCACACAGTAACCATATCCCCTCACCCCATATTTGACAGCATTTTCAAAATGTAACATTTGTTTTCTTTAGTGGTTAAGGGCATACTTGTATAGGACAAAGTAAAGAGGTTGCTGGCAAGAGACCCATTGGTTTGTTTGACACATTTAAAAAATGTTTTTCTCCTTTTTATTTCCACTTCCCTATGTGTTTGATTGCTTGGTCCCATTAATATGGACACCATGTAGGTAGGGGCAGCTTTGTGACTGGGGTTTTGCTTATAAAGACAATCAACCAGGGTCTGTTGTGTTATTGTCACTCTCCAGTGGGACTCTCCTAAGGGCTTTCCTCAGAATGTAAGTAGGGTTTTCTTGTTAAAAAACTTGATAATATTTACCATACTTCTCACAAACATTTTCTCAAATATGGCATTTTACAAGGATATATTAAAGAGCCAATAAAGGGAATAAAAGTTTTGTAGGTGAATTTTTTTCCACAGTGTCATAAAGTTGAAAATATGTCAATAATGAGAATGCTGACTGCTCCAGTCAGAGCAGAGGCTAACAAGACTGAGCTTTCTCCTCATCCTACATAGGTGGTTAAGATTATGCAAACTGCCCTCAAAACTCGACTTTAGGACTGAAAAATGTTAGGTTTATAGCTGGTTGATGCCACAGTCTACCACATACAATGAGCAGCAGAGAACTCATTTCTCCCATTAGGCAAACCTCTGATGAAAAAAACCTGCTGGGGAGTTTCATTCCTTTGAATTTAAAAGTGAAACCAGCATTAGAGGTATTGTAGGTTTTCTTATTGCCTATCTGATTTTCAGAATCCAATGAACACCCAGAATAAACCTCAAAAGGATGCTGCAACATTTTACTATGAAACTGTTCTTAGAAGTTTCTTCCTTAAGGTGGAGGAAGTAGTGTTCACCTAACTTTTTTTTTTAAATGGGCTTTTTAAAAAATGCTTTTTTAACCTCTAGAGATTCCTATGAAGGAAATGTAAAGGGAACAAATATCTTAACAGGATGCAGAAAACATGTGCCCCTCCCATTCTTCTCTGATTGATGCCTGTGCCATTAGCAGGGTAGCTGCCCATTTCTTATCTTGACTGACAGGCTAATAAGGAACCTGGGGCTATCTTTTCAGGAGGAACACACAACCTTACCAATTACTTTTAAATTATTGCTAATCTGTCAGAAAATAACAAGCGCAAGGATTTCTTTTTTTAAAAAAAAAATTCTGAAAAATAGAAATATCTGCTGAAGCAGATTTTGCTTCCGGTTCTTTAAAAGCTTCAGTTCAGAAAACTTGCCAGAATCAAGTCAATAGAATTTAGGCACTGATTTTTTTTTTTTTTTAAGAAAAACTTGTAGTTTATAATAGTTCATTGGTTCAATTAGGAGCGAAAAAGAAGGGAGTTTTGTAATGCAATTGTCCAGCAAAGGAAAACGCTTTAAATTGGGGGATTATGTGAGCAGACCACCTGTAGGGCATTCATAGTCCTTTTCTATAATGCTTCAACTCATGCCTTGCTGCCTGCAGGCTGGCTAACAATGCCGGGGAAAGCTGTTTAAAAGGCTGAGCGCACTTGGGCTTCTGGTCTTCACTAACTGTTACAAGTCTTCCTCTCTCGCTCCCTCTCCCCCGTTCTCGCTCCTTTTTAAAGTAAAAGTCCCACATCCCTTTAATTGAAGAACTTTAAGGCTCCATGGTGGCCAATTGGTCTGCAACAAGAGGAACCCGGCAGCAGGGAAAGAAACTTCAGACTATACATCACATTTGGAGAGGAGAAAAGATCAAAGTTTTTCCAACTCAAAAGACCAAGTTCCCTACAGATTAACCCTATTCATTTAGCTCCTCTTAAAGGAATGATGGGCTGAGCCACTGGGCAGACAGGTAAAAAGTTCAACAATTGCCAAAGCATTCTTCTGCTAATTCAACAGCCTTCTGCTCCAATAAATTAGCTTAGTCTTGACAGAGGAACAATAGCTTTTTCTCTAGGAAAAGCAGCACATTCGATATACACAAGCCTGGAAGGTTATTAAGATGTTAACCCGTTAGTTTAATCCACTAAAGAGTGTTAGCTCCTCTACCAGATTGTGGAGTGACTTACACTGTAAAGCGTGATCTGTAGGTTTAAAACATTAACCTTTCCACACTTTGGCATCGTGGTCAGTTCCTGAAGATGCAGGCAGGTACTTTGGAAATCATGGACTCCAGAAATGAATGTAGGGTTTTGAAACTTTTAGTAACATTATACAGGATAAATAACTGGGCACAAGTGGCATTAGTGCCTTGCCAAAGTTCTATTTATATACACTAAGGTGAAAATTGTCATTCACAAATCAAAGGAGAGTTCATTAGAAATACCATCTTTTCTGCGGGGTGGTGCAAAACCTCCATTTTTACTGCAGTTCAACCATGCTTTTTGCCGTGCTCACAACTTAAGAATCAGCAGTTAACAGGTGATTCTTCTCCATGCCTAAAGACAGTATACAGAATAACAATTTCGAAAATGTCCATTTGTTTTTCCTGATGCATTCTTAAGCTATCACATTAAAGTTAATGGCTTTGAAGAGGCAGGGGGAGAGGGCAATGGTGAAATCATTTATCAAAAGTCTTTTTATTGACAAAATAGAATACTTATATTTGTTCTTACAGGGGTAAGCCTCTAAACTTTTTACAAAAAATGTACAGACTGTATATCTTTGGATATATACATATTTTACACTTTTTGTTTTTTTTTGTGGATTTTTGTTTGTTTTACAATTTAACAAATAATTATATAAATACATCCTTTACTGTTAAGAAACCCGTATTTACTTGGGGTGTATAATTAAGACATTTCTCGTTTATTTATTTAAGGCATTTGCCTGGTCATTAAGAATTACCCAAACCGTGCAATCCCATTAGGTCGTGGTCATCCCGCCTCTAGCATATGTAAAGAGTTAAGAGTTTATGTAAAGTGAGTCAAGGGAGAAGAAGACGTCCCTCAGGTCAAATCTGTAGATGGTGCTTCAAGCTCAGCAACGAGCAGCCAGTAAGTGCTCCAAACCTTGGGTTTTGGAAACGCAGCCGAGTCCACCCTCCGGTGCCAACAGAAATTAACGCCTGGCGGAAGGAGCTCCTTGCATATTAATGGAGGAAAGGGGGCTGGGTCTGGGCGGCTTCAATGCCAGGTACTTTGTTCTAAGCAAGTCATTTAAGTCCCAGCTAATGGATACCATTAAGAGTTCATTATCATGCTAATAGCAATCAACACGGTGAAGGGGTGGGAACCTCAGACCGGCAAGAGTCCCTTTGCATTTGGTCTCCTCGACCCCCCTCCCCTCCCCAAACCCTCTTCTCCGCTCAGACCTGGGACAATGGCATCTGCTTGGGGTAGGATACGGAGCTGGCCGTGCCAGACCTCCACGTCAGGCCGGTGCTGACGTCGCTGTAGAGAGAGCC